TCCAGTCAGTAATTTAACTCAATATCCAGTCAGAATGCTGGTAATTTAACTCAATATCCTGTCAGAATGCTGGTAATTTAACTCAATATCCAGTCAGTAATTTAACTCAGTATCCGGTCAGAATGCTGATAATTTAACTCGCAGCAGAATTACTGGTCATCATTTTAACTCCTACAATTGTGTTTGTTACTTTTATGAAAAGAAAATATTGATCAAAATCTGAGTTGAGATTTATTGCATTGTTAACAATTAATCAAAAAGGTTAGTATAATTTATGAATGTTTAGAAAAATCTCCTTACCAGATGATATCAAAATAAGCACAAATGTTCAACTCTTAGATTAGAGCTTTTGAATTATACTGAATATATGTAACTTTAAATACTTTAAAATAATAGGTATAACTTTTGAAACAGTAGTATACAGGTGAACAGTGACTCCCTTTCAACAAAATGCTCCATCCAACTTCATAACCTATATGAATCGAGCTCTTTCGTTTAGTTCAGCTTAAATAGATGAGAGGTCAAAGACCACTGTAGTACAATTACATTGAAAACAAAAAAGGTGAAAAAATTGTTGGTCAAGTGTAAGAGCATTGAATAGACCTTGCCAAATACGGCTGATGTTGCTAGGGTCATTATCAAGGTGAAGTGAGAGAGTGTTTGTTTTGATGATTTTATAGTTTTTAAACAGTCACTTTCTTTTTTAGTTTTGGGTTGGTGTAGGAGAATACTTTTATCCCAAAGTATCTTGTGTCCTATTTCACATTGATGATATATTAAAACAGATATCTCAATGCATGTGACCTTCGTGATCTTTGGATGTTATTTCTAAGGATAGTGACATTTGTCCTATGTATTTTCTCCACATTCAGATGGGATACTATATATATATGCTAGTTTTGAAGTTTGATAAAAGCCCTATCTATGATGTTGGGGTTGAAACCTCTAAATATTGTTATATTCTTTAAGTAGTTCAATTCAATTATTAAGTTTCTATATGGGTGAAAAGTTGTATTGCATTGCATTATGTAAGTGAATACTGCTTAAGCAAGACTTATTTTACACATGAAGGCCAGGTTTACAAACAAAATAACAGATTAGAGACGAGATCCTCCCCTTTCCCTTCTACTCGGTGACCACTACATGTCCATTCTAGAAGAACTCGTTAGAAACAAATTCCTACACATCAAGAAACCTGAAATCTGGTTAAGATACGTTAGTGATATTGTTAATATATGGTGACGTGGAAAAGATATTCTACGTAGTTTCGTTAAGCACCTTGAGACCCAGTGTCATAATTTTTACACATGAAGTTGAATCTAACAGTTCTCCCCTTTTTAGATATTAAAGTCAAAAGAGAAAATAAAATTACCCTCAGTATATAGAGAAAAACCTCACCATACTGCCGCACACATAATATCTAATTACCATCTGTCACAGAAAATATCCTTCTACTTCACTTGCATAACTCGTGATATACAACTTTGTAATCTCAATAAAGATTTAATAATGGAATTGAACTACTTAAAGAATATAGCACTATCTAGAGGTTTCAACCCTAATATCGTAGATAGGACTTTTGTTAAACTTCAAAACCATAAAAAATACGTTAACTCTAACCTTTCACCTCTCAACAACATAAAACGTAGCATATTTGTTTCATTCACTTTTATGCCTGAAATTGCCAATGAAATTACTAGCCTATTTAATAATTTGAGCATTGGTATAAAAACTGTATTCAAACCTTCACATAAAACTAACATTCTTAGTACCTAATACAAAGGAATCCCTGTTAAAGGAACAAAAGCAAGGCATATATAGTATCCCATGTAAATGTGGAAAGAAATACATAGGACAAAAGTCATATCCCTTAGAAACAAGATTGCAAAGAACACGAAGGTCACATGCTTAGAAGTGAATTAAAGATATCCACCTTAACATATCATCAATATGAACAAGTCACCAAATACTTTTGGATGCAATTTTTCTCCTACAGCAACCCAAAACTAAAAAAAGAAAGACTATTTAGAAATTATAGAAATCATCAAAACAAATGACCTCTTAATGAATTGTGATAATGACCCTAGCAACATCAGCCATATTTGGTAAAGTCTATTCATTGTTCATACACTTGACCTTTACCTGTCACTTGCTGACACCAGTTTCGTAACATTTAATCCCTGTGTCATTTGTCATCGTAACGATATATAAACCTTGTATTGCTTAATGCTGATCATACCTGATAGAAGACAGACCGATGTTTTGTCAAAACTTGTAGTATGTTCCACCATTAATAATGTTCTTCCTTATGCTTATAACTCATTGTTTGCCTACCTATTATTAGAGTAAATATAATCATAGCAAACATTTTATCTGTAAATATGTTTGAAAAAAATAAAAGAAAAACAGCAAATTTTGGCAAAACATGCTTGTGAGGTGTGTTACCTAAAAAATTTGAAACAATTTCAAAATCTTGTTCTGATACATACAGTTGGTTGCGCTATGACTTTATATTTGCCATTGTTGTCAGGTAGATTGCTTATTTGCATTTTAAAAACTATTGGAATGTTATCCATTCAACCCTCTTTAATAATAGTGAAATTGTTTTCTTTCTGTAAACAGGATAATGTGAATTCGCATGCAATCAAGAGTATCTGTTTCTTTTACTAAGTAGCGTGAATGAGGACCTAATAAAATAAAGAATTTTTCTTTCCGTTGGTTACTATGAATAAGTACCGGCTAAAATGGAATTTGTTTATCTGTAGGATACTTTGTGTGAATGAGGACCTAATAAAATAAAGAATTTTTCTTTCCGTTGGTTACTATGAATAAGTACCAGTTAAAATGGAATTTGTTTACCTGTAGGATACTTTGGATAATAATACTACTGCTGAAATTCTAGAGAAATGTATTCTCTTTTCTCTGCATGGTATCGTGGTAATGTACCTAGTAAATGTGGTACTGTATATCATTTCTGTTTTTTTACATGGTACTGTATATACGAGTACCTAATAAAGCGTATTTCGTTTTTCCACCTGGTACTAAGGATAAGTACATATTAAACATGATACTCTGATGAATACCTAGTAAATTTCAGTTTCTTTAAACAAAGTACTATGAATGAGTGCTAAGCTAGGTAAAGTGTAATCTCTTTCTTCCTAAAGAGTAAAATATTTTTTCCCTTCTATTGGTTGCTATGAATGAGGTCCTAATAAAGTGTAATCTTTCTTCTTACAGGTTACTCTGGATGAGTATCTTGTATGGTCTGTTGACCAAACTCTACCCCATCAGTTTCTTAACATACTTTTTCAGGTATGTAATGTGAATCCACTATTAAAGTTTGCTTCCTTATAGCTCCACAGATGTATTTTTGATTTTTTTTATATCTTAAATATTAACAGATATTCATAAAAAGGTATGGGAGGTTATTGAAGTATGTTTCTCTTTTCTTCATAGATTTGCCATGTAGTATTTGGACTAAGGCCTACTACCAAAGAGGAGGAAGGTGAAATCATAAGGTATTTCATGCATAAATTACTTTATGTCCATCCCTTCTCTCCCCCCCCCCCCCCAATGTGTCACAGCGGTATGTCTGCGGACTTACAACGCTAGAATCCGGGTTTCGATACTCGTGGTGGGCAGAGCACAGAAAGCCCATTGTGTAGCTTTGTGCTTAACTACAAACAACCAATCCATCCCTTCTTGATTTTATTGTATGTTTTCAAACCATGAAGTACTGAAACTTGGCTTTTAATGTTAATATATTTTTAATTGTGTATTTGTAAAAAGAAAAGAAAGTTGTTTTAAGTTCACTAATTTGAGCAAAGTATTTGCATTCTAGAAAAATAGTTATTAAACAGATATTCCAATACGTCACTACTAGAGATGTAATGTATAGTGTTGCATCCAAATACCAAATAGTGGGTATATTTGTTGAAACAATTTCATGGGACACTGGAAGCTTTGAGCCATATGGGTAAATATGAAATTATGAAAAAATGTATGCAATAACAATACTTAATTGAACAAAGATTCGTATCCTAGTTGGATATCTAATGTATACAGCTGCCATTAATGGATTTTAATGAAACAAAAGTTTAAGAACAGTAGTCTTGCCTGGATGTGTCCATTGCTTCAAGTCTAAATTTCTAGTATTCCTTTCCATTTTTTGCAAGTTGTAACATGTTGGTAGATGTTGGCTTAGCAGTAGTCAGTAAACTAGAAATACACAGACCTGTCATTTGCTGTACACATGGTGATCTCTTAGAATGAGTGACTTAGTTGATGATTGCTATCAGTGACATGAAAAGTGTTTTCACTTGATTATCTTGAGTGATGTAAACTACTAAATTTGGATTTTCAAATGAATCATGTTTTTTGCTACACATTACAATTTGTGATCATGAATGTTCTGGAATCCCAACAAGGAGTAGTCGATCTGATAACAATCAATATAAAGATTGTTATGGGTTATTGTTCAAAGTCTTTATAGATTTGATTCTAATAAATTTTAATATAGTGTGTTTATCTTCACATACAAAAAATCATATTTTTAGTGAAGTATTTTTAATAAATTAAAAAAAAAAATTTGACCATGAACATATCGAGTGTTTCAACACCATTTGTTTTGAATAATCCGTGGGCAAAGTTATTTTCATATTTAAATTAAAAATACTTCTCCTCATCTCAAGAATCTCAAATTTCCTTTCTATAATCTCTAAAACCTCCTAAATACATTTCAAATGTGTTTGTTTTTAGTAAAACTTTATAGTTTATTTTCTCTATCCTATCTCAAAACTGGATCGGTCAATTTGACTGACCTCTTAACCACTGTAAAAATACATAAAAATAAACCTAAATTACCCTTTTATTTCTTTCTAAAATGACCTCAAATTGTAACATGAAACTACATTTGTTTATCCAAAGTAGTTCTAAGTTAGTAACAGTATATATCTATTTGTAATTAAATTTTATTGTTTTATTGCCCTTTGAACTGTGTCTTAACTACTATTCATGCCATTATAAGTTGTAAAACACTTGGAGAATGTGCAGCTCACATAATGCTATCGAATTATGTTACCCACAAGCTGCTCGCTTGCATGCCTAATGAAACATTTTTATTATATTATTATTATTATTTATTTTACCTTATCTAATCTAAAGAGATCCCTATTTTTACATTTTAGTAACTTTTATAATAATAAACAAAGAATATATAATACATGAAAAACCAGAAATAAAGTACTTACCTCAGTATTCTTTTTTTTTTTCTTTTTTTGCTGTTGACTGTCAATGACACTTAACCCTACTTTTTTTATACTAATGGTAGTAATGCACTAAATAATTTTTACTTAATTAAATAATGCACCAAAGAACATGGTTAATAACATCCGAAAACGCAGACAATTTCCTCAAACTATCACAATTTGTCTGGCTTTCTAACCATGCGACAAGAGCCATTACAAATTCATCTTTCATTACAATATCTTTCCCATGGGAAGAAAGCTTGTATTAACAGAGAAATTAACAATTCTCCATTCAGAAAACCACAAAATACAATAAATTGTTTGATAGATGAAAACCTTGGCTTTCTATTGTTTATAGATAATGTAGAATTAAATGTAAATGAGAACTATTAACAAATCCTGAAAGAGAGGATGTGACAGGTGAATGTGGTAAGAAGGGTCTGATTTTCTATTTGATGGCTCTGTAATCAAACAAAACTGAAGACTATAGAAATTATGGTTTGTCTGAGTAATGACGATTTTATGGTGAGTAATTTACATTTAATTTCTTGCTTATTGGAGGGGTGGTGAATAAAATGGAGAAGAGGAGATGCCTAAAGAAAATGTCACACTAGGGGAAATTCAGGATTTTTTTAAAATATTGTCTTATAAAATTAAGAACTTAAAATTTATATACTATTAAAATATGGGTTATTATTTAAGACTTAATGTTATACTACTTGGTATAACATTAATAAAATGTAGTTTAATAAAATTTGGAATCTAAGTCGCTAAAACTTAATGACGTGCAGTAAATGATGCCGGGCCAGATAGAGGGTTAAAAGGCATTTTTTTTATATACCAGCTGAACCAAGCAGTGAAGCAGAGTGTGATGGAGAAAGCATTAACACGTTCAACTTCACAATCAAATGTGGTTAAGGTAGCACTGACCCTGAAAACTGTGTAAATTTACATACTGAGGAAACACTTAAAAACTTCTTGCAACCTTCAAGTTGAACACAAATTGTCACAATTTCTGAAAGTATACTTTTATTCATATATTACATATGTATAATTAATGTGGCAGGGATAAAGAAATACATAACATTTACCGTTTTAACACCATAACTTTACTTAGAAATGATAAAAGCTTGTGAAAATTGATACACTTGATCTTTGTGAACATCCTCATAGCTTGAATTAAATATTTTGCAAATTTTCTGCAATATTAATGAGCTATGGACAATAATTTTACTTAATGCCTTCGTTAGTGGTAATTAGACCCATAACAAGACAATTGGTAATGATTTTTTAATTTAAAAAAACTCAAGCTATGGAAGAATGTAATATCAACAAGTGTACTGAATTATATGCTGATATTGGCTTTAATGGTGAAGTCATTGTGCTAACTTATCACACACACACACAGGACAAAAAAATGAAAGATTTAGACAAAGAAATTTCACTAGGATGGAAGATGTAAGACATGGAGGAAGAAGAGAGGAATTATACGAAAGACCTATGAATTTTAGAAAATATTAGAGTTCCAAAAACTTTTAGATAAAGAGGATCAGCATTTTTTGAAAATTGTTAATTTAACAGAAACTAATTTGCAAAAAAAATGAAATATGATTATTAGCAAAAGGATTAACATTTACTCCCACAAATACACCTAATAAATTACAACTAGCAGAAGAACTATATATATACGAATTCAATAGAAAATTAAGACTTACAGAATATTTTTGTGAAGGTTCAAATAAAGATGAATCCTTAGTAAAAGTTGAATCAAATTTTGATCCTGTTCAAGGAATATACCCGGAATTACAGTTATTTTATTAAAGAATTGAATTCTGTTGCCGAAAAAGAAGCAAAGGATAAGTTAACATTAAAAGAGCAGAAGATGCTCAAGAAACTTAAAAATTATAACTTGATATTTCAAAAAGCAGATAAAGATAAATATGGATAATAATGACCCAACAATTTTATAATCTTATGGTTTATGAACATTTAAACGATATAAAGGTTTTCCAAAAAATGGTTTAAATTAATTGAGATGCATAACTTTCATAAAAGAAAAATTATCAAATTTTGTTGATGAATTTGAGACATTAACAAAAAAATAAAGATTTTGTTTTTAAGAAATTAATAAAAAGTTAAAAAGTCTGATATTCCAGTGTTTTCTTATTCATATCCACAGGTAAATCTTATATAATTTATTTTTTCACCATTAAATTTTGTATTTTATTTCATTGAATAGAGTTGTTTAAACATTTGTTTAACAAGTAAAAGCTTGGAATGGTCTATTCTTTCATTGGGGGGTGTGTCTGTGAGCCAGACTAGTTTTGAAGAATTCCACTCCTCATCAGTGACTCTGGACACTACCACCAATGAAATATCGGACTAAACCAAGCCTTTATAGTAGTGAAGTATTGAAAAATCGAAATGGTGAATTTAAGTCTTTTACACTCCCAAAAAAGAAATTTATCATTCTAATGCTACAAGTTCTTCAATTACCTATAAAATGATAGGTTTCTTTTTGTGAGTGTAAAACACTTAAATGTACCATTTCGTATTTTATTTCAGTTTTAGACATCAAACTACTAGCTATCTTTTGAACTTTAGGAATGTAATGTTGCCTTTCAATCATACACAGCATTACTGTTATCATTATTGAAATTTTTCAAAAACATTTAGTTATATTTTAATCCTCACTTTTCACTATTATTTGTATTGATATATAAATATTATCCTAGTTTAAAATAATTTGCTACTGATTTGTATTTATATTTCTTTAGATCTGTTGTATAATGCTAATTTATAACGTTATATGTTTGATAAACCTTTATGGTATGGAACCTTCTATTCGATCAGAGTTTGAAATCACTGTAGGTAATGTCGCATCTCGAAACATTGTGAACATTAAATCACTTATTTATCATTTAGACTTGACCTTTAACTTTTCTGTCACCTGCTGACATCATTTCCATCACATTTAATCCTTGTCTCTTTTGTCTTTGTAACCATATAGTAGAGATCACATCTGAAGACAGACCAATGTTCTATCGAAACATGTAGTACGTTCCACAATCAATAAAACTCTTTCTTATGCTTATAAGTCCTTGTTTGCCTACCTATTATTATTATATTAGCATAATGTACTCAAGCATCTATTTACACTACTTAACAACTATTATGTTTTAATTATAGCTGCAAGTAATTATGGGGATGAAGCTATTATAAATGTGTATAAGGCTTTAGTAAATACAAGTTTAACCCTATCACCCCGAGTATCCTATACTGTGCATGACACAAGGATTTAGTGTCTCACATTCAAAATTTTTGTTTATGTTATGCCAATTAGAA